GGAGCGCCCCCTTCTTCGCCCATCCCCGGTGGGGTAGGTGGTGGAGGAGGCCTCTTCCGCCCGTTGTCTGGCGGCGGGTGCCCGCGGGGTCGATCTGCTTCCCCCTGGAGCAGAAAGTTGGGAGGGTGAAGCGTGGCTCTTGCCCGTTGAGTTTGGCTTTGGTCTCTCTCCTCTCCCGCCAGGATGCTGGTGGCGTGCGGCATGCAGCGATGTCACCAGGAAGCGCTAAAGAAGAACCGGGTGATGCTGGCAAAGCAGATGATTTTGAAAGAATTGGCTGAGCATATGATAGAGAAGGACATCATCACCACGGAGATGATGGAAATGATACAGGTATGTTAAGTTGTACTTCGCTGGACTGTGAGCTTTATTTCTAGTTAAGACCTTAAGTTCGTGGCAGTTGCAGCACTGTAGAGCTCATCTGTGTGTTACTTGTGTATTTTAATGTGATTACGTTTGGAGAACATGCAAAGCAGTGCAGGGTTTGCTTGCAACACACAGAAGCGTAAGATGCTTTTGGCAATATGGATTTTGTCTGAGATGTATAAAAGTGTTGGCTTGCATGCTGGTATGTAGTTGTGACAGGATGTGCTTTGTGAGTCAGGTGGTATTTTCCCGTTCTTTGTTGCCGTTTTGTGCCTTTTTTTTCATTTTTATAAGTAGGAATAATACCTATTTCCAAGAGAATACTGTGAAAGTAAGTAAATGAATGTATTAGGAACCAGCTTGTTGTGGCACCTTTAACTTAAAGAATTTGTGTTTCATGTGTCTTTGTAAATTGTGTGAAGAGCCTTACTACGTGAGCTAAGTCTTGCTCTCAGATGATGAATGCCATTCATAGGTTTTTGATACTTAACCTAAGCAGTGGGTGCTATGAAGTCTTTGGACTTGGGATTGCTTCCAGAGGTACGGTAATGCACGGAAGGCGTAATGCACGGAAGACTGCAGGATGGAGATAGAGGTCTTCAAAGAGAAAGCGGACTGCAAAGAAAAGAACTGAAGGTGCACATCAAGTGCATCTTGGGACGCAAGTAAGCAATTGAGGGACTTTTTAGTCTGTTAGTAAGGTTGATGGTCCTGTCATAAGAACAGATGCTGAAAAATAGAATTATGAGCTATTTCCTGGGCACCAGTACAGAAGGTATGAACCTGAGACTGATAAGGGTTTTGAAAGCAATGAAGAAATAACTTCCTGATGAATTTTGACTCATTATGTGTCAAAGATAATGTGAAATTCCTCATGGGACCTGTCATGGATACCTGTGTTAAGTTGTGGGAGATGCAGGCAGTCTTACCTGAAATAGTGCCAGTCTCTGATGAAGGAGAACAAAGATGCAGGAAGACAGTGAAAATCAAAGAATGGATCAAGTACTCATTGTACTGCTTTTGGCTGGGATAGAGTTAATTTCTGAATAGCACCTTGTATGGGGCTGTGTTTTGGATTTGTAATGAAAACAGTGTTGATAACACAGGGATGTTTTAGTTATTACTGAGGAGTGCTTACAGAGTCAAGGTCTTTTCTGATTCTTTTACTGCCCTTCCAGTGAGGAGGCTGGGGTTGCACAAGAAGTTGGGAGGGGACACAGCTGGGACAGCTGTTTCCAGCTGACCAAAGGGATATTCTGTACAGTACGACATTGTGCTCAGCAATAAAAGCTGGGGGAAGAAGAAATGGTGGGATGTTTGGAGATAGGCCATTTATCTTCCCAAGTAACTTAGGTATGATGGAGCCCTGCTCTCCTGGAGATGGCTGAACATCTGCCTGATGATGGGAAGTAGTGAATTAATTCCTTATTTTGCTGTACTTGTGTGCATGGCTTTTGCTTTACCTGTTAAACTGACTTTATCACAACTCACAAATTTTTTCACTTTTACCCTTTCGATTCTCCCCAGCCATCCTGCTGAGGAAGGAGTGACTGAATGACTCTGGTGCTTAGCAGCCGACCTGGGGTTAAACAATGACACTGCTGAAGTATGGGTAGTTAGTAGAGGTGTTTAGTTGCTGGACTGCAGTTAGTTACTGAAGGGGGAGAAAGGAAAGGGGAAGAAAAGGAGAAGGAAAAAAAAAAAAGCTGCCCTCTCAAAGGTAGGATGATGTCAGAGAAAATAGCTTTTTGGCAGAATGCTGCTGTATTTAAGAAGCATTGGGCAGAGGGGAAGAAGACAAATGGAATCTTCCTCTCCAGGTGTAACTAGATAAAAGGAGATGCAACAATACTTAGTAATGGATTATCAGTAAGGACAGAGGTGTTATGATAGATAAGCCAGATAAATAGTAATAGTGTAGTGGAAAAAGTTGTGCCTAATCCAACATACACAGATAACTAAGAGCTCATATGTATATAAATAGCAATAGCAGCCTGAGCAAGAGAACAAAGTGACTTGGAACTACTGTTGCAGGGTATGAATCTGGAAATTCCAGCAGAAATAGAAATATGGTAGGGGTAGGAGGAAACCATTAACAACTGGAACAGTAATACTGCAAAAATATGCATTGTACTGGAAGGATAGAAATGAAGGGAACATTTGCAGTACAGTACTATTCATAACACTGTTACAGATAAACAAAAAGTAACATGCATTAAAAAAAATAAGTCATCTGAGTCAAAACCACTTTGTCTTACCTTTTGTTTTTCTCTGGTAAGTCTGTGAATTTGTAGTAGTCTTCCAATCTGGCTCAAATGTGAACAAAGGTTTTAGAAGTGCTGTTAGGTAGCCTATTCTTGAAAATGTATTTTGATGCATCAGGTACTTTAGTGGAAATAGGAGGAGACAAATGCCACTGTGTCTGATGATAGAGCGTAGATTTTCCTGGATGCTGTAACTAACTGATTCTATATATCCCCCTGCTCCCCCCAAAAGTTGGGAAATTGAGAATATCTGGATAAATAGTTATGTTTTAAATTATCTTGTCTTAAAACCACAACAGTTATACTGGTCCTGTTGGTTTCATTTAAACGAAACAGAAGAATAAACAAAATGGTTCTGGAAATAGGGCACTCGTTCATCACAAGGAAAGTGAAATAAGCCAAGGAGCTCAGAGAGATAAAGGAAGCATGAAATTTCTTCAAGTTTGAGGTGCTAAACCAGTACTGAAACTTTACTACAAGTAAGAAAAAGGTGGGAGGGGAGGACATTGGAGGAAGGGCCACTGAAGACAAAAGTGGTTGAGCTGGATGAAGACCTCACAAGGAATATGAAGAGTTAAGTAAAGAGTTTGTAGGTGTACACTAGAGGAAAAATTAGTAAATAGGAGCAGTTTCCTTTGTCCAAAGTGGGGAAAGAGAGTAAGAACTGACCAGAATTAAGTTAAATTGGGTCACTCAGAAAGATACTCGACAATTTGAGGTTTTTTCAATTATATATTTTACAGAAAGAATAAGGAAAACCTTTTGTTTACTATATAGCAAAGATGATAGAAGTTATCTAGATGAAGGCTCAGAAAAGAGGGATTTCAAACACAGAGCAAAAAAGATAGTGGAAATAAAGTGGGGCAGTGGAAACAGCTGTTTTTAAGATGAAGTCCAAAATCCACTTCATTAATGCCACTTTGCCAGAAGATATGTTGTTCTCCCAGAACTCTGGGATGGACCTTCAAAACTGCAGATATGATAGCAAGAGCTTTCTCTTGCTTTTTAAACAAGTTGAATACTCTGTATTGTAATCAAACACTATCAGATTGTGTAGATACAGCGATTTAAATGCTCTGTCTTGATCACTAGACAGTAATGCAGGGATCAGTGGCTTTGACAAAGTGAAATAAATTTGATGAGGATGTTTTTCAAACATATATGCTCTAAATTTGATGAGGATGTTTGTCAAATATATATGCTCTTCTCCACAGATTCTGCTTGTATATTCAGGCTCAATAAGAAGACTAATGCTATGGGATTTTGCCAGGAATTCAGAGTTTATCATGCAACCAGTGCCTGTTATGCAGATTATCAAACTCATCTGTGAGGGTACAAAAAAAAGTTAAGGATGTATTAGGAAATAAAATGAAACGAGTCTGTCTTACGAAACTCTTACTTCTGAATATTTGCTGAACGTTAGTATAACTGAAATGTGCTGTTGATGTGGAATTCACATGAGGAGGTACAGCGCTTTGGGTATTTAAGGAAGAAGTCTGCCAAAAGCTGACTACTGTACATATAAAGTGCAGTATATGAACATTATGGAAATTTTTTAACATTTCAGTAAAACTTGTGATCCAGTTCTTGAGGGCAGCTTGTGATCTTGATTTGTGGTTTAGAGTCATAGACTATGAAGACATAAAGTGAAGAAGAGCTTGCCATAAACAGCTGCAGGTCTATTAGAAAGGAAGAAACAGTTAATAGGTACTGTAGAATATCAGCTGTCAATTTACTTTATTAGGTAAAATGCAGTAGATTAAAGCAAGATACGAGTATATGGAGCTGGTTATCTTCTATGGACTAATGGAGAAGTGTTACTGGGAGAAAGGGGCAAGTATTTTCGTACTTCTGGAAGGACACAGGTGAGATATTACTGTATGCACTTCTAGTCAACTGTGCTCTGAAAGCTGAGGTTTCCATGGGAATAGGAAAGGGTACCTGCATTATCAAGGGGAAGAGCTAATTGTGAGGAGGCTGAAAGAAAGTGGCTTGTTTACTGTAGCAAATCTAGACTGATTTATAGAAAGAAGTTTGATAAGTAAGGGGAACGCTGAAGTCAAGGACATTGTTGACACAAAAATAAATGCTATTAGTCATGAATGAACATAGGTCTGAAATTTCAGAATAGGTTCATAAGCATTGGATCAATAAGATTTCGCAATAACCTTCCAAACAATATGATGGGACAAAATCCAATCTGCTTTTAACACCAAGCTTGAAAAAGTTTATGAAAGAAGCCAGATGATGTGAAATCTTTTGTAGCAGAGGATTTACACATGTGACGAAGGCTTACTCCAAAAGAAGAGATCTGGAATCTAAGTGGTAATTCAGATCAGTTCCGTGCAACTGATAAAATTTATTTTTGATACCCAGTATTTTAGTAGGTGATGTTTTGGTGTGTTTTACATATCATAGAAAATTAGCGGTTTGTAGAAAATTAGCGGTTTGTTGGCAAATTCCCTGTTAATATTCTAACACTTGAAACTTCTTGAATGTCTTACAGATACATACATTTAATATTTGTTTGTTACTTTTTCTCATATACAACTATATCTTGCTTTGTTGGTCTGTATGTTACATATGTAATTTTTTTTTTGAACTGACTGCATATAATAAGTATTTTACTTAATGCTTTCTGAGGGATTTGCATATCTGTGCATGAGTCCATAAACTATTGAGCAGTAATGGAAGCATGTTCTGGACTTCATGTATTCAATAGGGGAAAATAGATACTACTCCAACAGTAACTGAAAGTAAAGTTTGATGCCAGGAGGGCATATTACTGTGTGTGTAGTAACGTATGAATTGTTGGCTTGCTGTGTTGTCATATACTCTCCCACTTGAGCTAGTAGGAACAGAGTAATAGGAGTGAAATCAGCTAGGAAAGACACTAAAAATGGATGTAGCACAGTTAAGCATGGTGATGGAACATTTAGATGAAGTAAAAAAAAATATTAGTTGTTCTGAAGTTTCACTGAAAATGAATTGTGGAATCTTTGATTGTGGATTTTGTTTTTTCTCTGAATCTAGGCCAAGTCTGGGAGCTTCAGCCAAAATGTGGAATTCCTTGATTTGCTGCCCAAGAGAGGCCCTAATGCCTTCTCAGCCTTCTGTGAAGCTCTACGAGAAACCAAACAGCAGCATCTGGAGACAGTGATCTTGAATACAACATCCAACCTGAGTCACGGGACTGCAAGGGTACAGCAGTTTTGGGGTTTTTTTTATTTATTAAAAGGGATGGATGGACTGGATTTCAGATTGATTTTAGGCACAAAGTGATCTTTTTCAAATAGAAAAAAAAATGTTTATGAAGGATAGGATGGGATTTTGTTGCAAACTGAAACTTGTAGTAGCCTTAGTAAAAGCAGAGGAGAAGAAATTTGGGAAGAACAGAATTTACAGACAGAATTCCAAAATGATAGAAGTTGGAAGGGACCTCAGGAGGTCATCGGGTCCAAACTCTCCGCTCAAGCAGCATCACCTTGAGCAGGTTGCCCAGGGTCACATCTAGGTGGCTTTTTAATATCTCCAAAGATGGTGGTTCAGGGGCCTCTCTGGGCAGCTTTCTCCAGTGCTCAGTCACCCTCACAGTAAAAAGGTGTTTCCTCATGTTCAGATGGAGACTCCTGTGTTTCAGCTGTGCCCATGGCCTCTAGTCACTGGGCACCACTGAAAAGAGCCTGGGTCTGTCCTCTTTGCACCCTCTCTTCAGGTGCTTATAGGCATTGATAACAGCCCATTGAGCCTTCTCTGCTCCAGGCTGAACAGTCCCAGCTCTCTCAGCCTGTCCTCAAAGGAGAGGTGCTCCAGTCCCATCATCATCTTTGTGGGCTGTTGTTGGCCTCTCTCCACTATGTTGATGTCTCTCTTGTACTGGGGAGCCCAGAACTGGACACAGGACTGCAGATGCAGCCTTGCCAGAGCTGAGCAGAGGGGAAGGATCACCTCCTTTGACCTGATGGTAACATTCCTCCTAACGCAGCCCAGGATACCATTAGCCTTGTTTGCAGCAAAGGCACCTTGCCGACTCCTGTTCAAATTTATTTTCACCAGGTCCTCCAGGACATTTTCTGCCAAGCTGCTTCCCAGCTGGGTGGCCCCCAGCATATACTGGTGCATGGGGTTGCTCCTCCCCAGGTGCAGGACTGCATTTCCCTTGTTGAACTGCAAGAGGTTCCTGGATGTTTTTATATCCAACATGTTCTTAATGGATGTGTCCTCAAGAACCCAAGCTGCAAAGAAAATATTTTTTTCTGAAATCTCTTCATTTAGTGTTCAATGATTCTATGAGTAGAAAGCTACTAAAAGCTAGACTTGTCTATTGAGGAGAGAGGGACTTTATTTTGGTTTTATTTTACAAGCTACATTTGTTAGCACTGGATTAAAGGAATAATTTAGCAAAGATTCAGTAGTCTTAGTGCATTGACAAGGATGGAAACTTGCAGTAAACATGTATCATACAAAGGAAGGAAGAACAGATACTTTGGAGATGTTCCCTTATTAAAATGTAGAATTTATTAGACTACCTTTCTATTTTTTTGTTTTCAGCTGTGCTTTGCTATATGAACAATGAAATCTTGAAAGCAAAGATAAAGATAGGAATCACTGGAAAAATCAATTTTTGGCAAAATCAAGGAGGACATGCTGACCGCTGTAAAGTTTCCAAACTGGGAATTTTGGTAGAAGTAGAGATGAGCAAAGAAGGGAAGGAATTTTGCGTTGACAGAAAATGCTGCCATCTTGTCAGGATGTTTCATTTGAATGTGAACCATTTTAAAAGTCATGTATATGTGTATGTAAACGCATGTATCTTTGTTCCATGATTCTCTTGTGGTACAAGCTTGTAGATTAAAAAAAAAAACAAAACCCAAAAAAACTGGTTTATGGTACTTTTTCATGGGTTTATTGTATGTCTTGTAGCTTGAACACTGTTATGGATCAAATCTTCCATTCCCTGTCAGTGAGTTGTGTAATTCAAAGAGACCACGCTGGATTGGTGAGTCACACATGATGTTGTAAATACTTGATTGGCTATCTGGTTGTTCGCTTCTTATTTCTTAATATTCTCTTAATTCAATTCTAGAAATAAACTCACCACCTCTTTGATCATTCCAGGAATACAAACTTGACAGTGAACTATGTTATGATCAGATATAGGAGGCAGAATTAGGCTAGAAAATGACAGTGAAATAGCATATTGGAAGAGAACTCAGTCAGTTCCTAGTCAGCTTCAGTTATTCTTACAGGAATTTATGTTGCTTAAACAGTACATGTCAGTAAAAAGATTCTGCAAAGATTTTCTTCTTTACGGTTTGTAATAGAGTTTAGTTGAACTAGAGCTGAGAATATACTGATTTTGGGCAGTATTCCTTAACATAGAATTCCATCTTAGCAAATAAGTTTAAGTATAAGGCCTTACATATGTTACATGGGTCCAACATAGATTTCTGTAGCTTCTGTCTAGTGTAGCAAATCATCTTTTCTATAGCAAGAATTTGTGACTTAGATCAGGGAACTAGTTGGGATGAATCTCCTTGCTTGTTTTTATATTGCCTCTGGTAATGCCTGGAGTACTCATGTTCCTAACCACAGCTTGAACTGTGTACTGGTTACTGGGAGCAATCTCTAGTGTTAAAGAACAAGTGATTTTGAAGGCTTTTTAAAATTTAGGTGCATAGGTTTTAAGGTTGGGTTTTCTTGGTTTTCTTAGAGCATATGTTCATCCAACCAGGAAAGCCATGCCTCAAAAGGCTGAAAAAGGATTTCAGAGGACATCATGAATGTCATTAGCTCTGTTTCTTCAGGACAGGGGAGTGTTTGTCTGCAAATGACAAATAATTGGTTATGATTCACCTCATCGGCTGTTACCTAGAGGAAAGGGTTGTTCAGAGACAGATAAGTAAGAGGGCATTGTACATTATGGAAGTTAGAAATGTCTAGTTTGATCACTTACGAATATGTTCAGCAAAAAATAAATAATTGTATTCAGTGAGCATGGGAGGCCTTTTCTGAAAGGAAAAGCACTGTTCTATTTGAATATTTCTAGCTATTTTGTCAGCTTAACTGTGAACATACTGTACAAAAAGACAGAAAGCACACAACTCTAATTTTAGGTAAGAATTCTGTTTTCATCTCTGTAAATTTACTAGGCTTTAGAAAAGGCTAATCCACATACAAGACAAAAAAGAAAAAGTTGCTAATTAAAATTGTGAAGAAATAAGAATACCATTCCAGTACTTTTTGGGTTTTCTCCTATATTTGACTGTATGTCTGAAGTCCCTGATCAAGGAGAATTTTTAGAGGTATGAATAGCATAGTACAGGAATATTACTTAAGACAACATAGTTCAGAATTTGCAAGCTACTATCTCAGTGCAGAGGCTTTGTAGTAGGAATTTTTTATGATTGTTTCGCACAGAACCAATGGAACATTCCTTGGATAATGGAGATGGTCTACAGATTCCTCCAGTGAAGTACTGCTCTCCTGAATTTTATCGTGATCATCAGCACTTGGTAAGTATTTGACAGAGAAAATCTCCTTAAGATGTGAAAGATGTGAGGTGTTTGGATATATCAACTGAACACATGCTACTTAAAACTGAGTTGAAACACATGCTTCATTGGGATGAGGATCAGAGTTGTGCTATTTGTATAACTGAAAAGTGTTACCAGTCAAGTTCAATTTAGTGTAATTCTCATTTACAAGTGAAGAAATTCTGAGTAGTTCTGTAGCTATACAAATCTCTGCCTCTGTTTTTGGTCATGATGAGCTTCATTAAATGCCTTCTGTGTTGTTGCTCTGTGTAAGCTGTCAGTATTCTTGCCTCCTATTTATTTGTCTGCATCCTCATCTTTTTCTGTGTGGTGGCACACCCTGCAAATGTCTGTAAAATACTAGAACTGTGTTAATGTCTGTTTTAATTGCCAACTGTACTCAGAAGTATGGGTCTGATCATGATTCTGTGCTGGGTAGTACTGGGTAAAACAACCTGAATTTCTAATCTGCAGCGTTTGAAGTAGGCAGTCTAATTACTTTTTGATTTTTCTGTTTGTAAAGCATAGATTGTGGTGGGGTAGATGCTTTACTAGAGTTACACAATGTGCTAACACTTAACACTCTGTCACAGGCTCTGCGTACAGCAAAACAGATTAATTTTTTTTAACTATTGAGGAGACCTAATTAGGTAGCATCAGTGTGACCCTGACTTCGTTCCTTTTACATCTCTGCCTTGATGCACCTTATTTTATATGCTCCTTTGGTATTAAATTTTACGTCCAACTTACAGGAGTGTTAGTAACCGATTTATTATTGATTTGTTGTTTTAGAGTGGGAGGGTCAGAGAGGGAACTTAATTTGGAGGCACCCCTCTTAAATAAGTTCTTTCCCTGTTGACCTTAGGCCACATCACTTTCACAATCAGTGGTTGACAGCCTCTTCCTGTTACAGTTGTACTCACGTGCTATTTTACATCTTTCTCTGCTTCCAACAGCAACTAAGAAATGTTAGCTACATTTTACATAGTGTTGTTCTAAGGCTTTTGATGGAATGACAGAATATACGGCACTGTGCTGGGATGAGGATGGGGAAAGGGAAAAAAGCTAGCAAGGCCTAATTCACAGTTTGAAATGGGTAAGCTCTGTTTCTTTTAAAATGAGAAATAAGGCAAGCTAGTATAACATCTTAATGAGTGTTGTAGGATCATCAGTTGTGGAGACTTGCAAATACGGTTACTTCTGGGATCCGTTGCAGTGCAAACATATGTTTTATTTATTTAAAAAAGCCCACAACCCCTTCAAAAATTTAACCTCTGCTGGTTTTGTGCCTTCTCAATCAAGAAATCCTGCATATTGTATCAAGTTGGCAGGTTGGGATTGCTGTCTACTCTAATATTTCCTTGTGTAGTCTAAATTTTACCAATTTAAAATCTTCTTTTCAGGCATATAAACTGATATCAGAGCCCCGAGGCTTAGCACTTATTCTCAGCAATGTCCATTTCAGCAGTGAGAAGGACTTGGAATATCGCGCAGGGGGAGATGTGGACTGTAATTCGCTGGAGATGCTTTTCAAGCATCTTGGGTATCAAGTGACTGTCTGTCATGATCAAACTGCACAGGTAAGGGGGATGGATCCCAGTACTTCACAACCAGTATGAATGGGACTTTGTAACTGTTACATAAACATTTTAAGAGGTTCCCTTTGGTATAGTTAAGCTGGAACAGGAAGATGCGAATGGTCACTTCTGAATAGAAGATAAGGGATGATGTCTGCTCACATACTGATAAATTTGAAGAAGCTTGGAAGGCAGAGGACTTGACAGAAAGTAGAATCACAAAGGGACCACAAGGGGTACTATTCTAGCCTGACGCTAGTGAAAGGGGCAAGAATTTCTAGATCACACCTGGCATGTGTGTTAAAACCACAAATTAATAAAGTCTGCAATGTACTCTAGATAGACTTTTCCGGTGTTCTGCTATCCTAGAAGTTAAATTTTACAAATATTTGACCTAGTCTTGCAATTTTAAGCGATTTTTTTTTTTTTTCCCATGTCCTTTCACTGATGGAGTCAGTTGCCATCGTATTTATCAGTCTTCCAGTGTCTTTGCAGTTAAGTTCCACTCTTTCACTCTTTGCTTTGCTAGAGAAGTAGCTGTGCTTGACTTTGGAAAATTGGTAATATTCCATGACTGAATCAAGCCACTTGCTTTTCCCTGGGAATGCAGTGGCTACCTTCTCCAGCCTCATTTCTTCTTATTCATTTTAATGAAACCGAGTGACACAGAATGTGTTAGTGTGTTTTATAGAAGATAACAACTTTTTGCGACATCATAATAAGACTTTTGCACCTGCCGTGTTGTCAGAGTTCCTAAAGTTTTTAAATTGTTACGGTGTTTTGATCTTTAGTGTTTGAATGCCTGAAGTACCAGAGTATGTATCTGTTAAGTTGCTCCAATATCCCAGCCAGACTCAAGTGTCAGTGTAAAACCCAATAACATATCAGTTGGTTTCTCCTATGTTAAATCCATGTGTACCAATTCCAGATACTTGCTGCACCTGCCTGTTGGCCTAAGTGATTCCTACTTCACAATGTTGTACTTAGGACTGAATATTACATAACATTTTGCTGTTCTTTTATGGACATGTCTTTTGTCTTGTAAATTTCATGTATTGTAGGGTTTATTTCATAACAGGAGGACCATTTGTATTTTTCCCAGTATATTGGCCCATGTCCCCTGCGCAAATCTGGAAAGCATTAAATTTTTTTTTTCTCTTCTAGGAGATGCGGAATGCATTGGAGAGGTTCTCTAAGCTGCCAGGTCATCGGGATGTGGATTCGTGCATTGTTGCTTTGCTTTCCCATGGTGTGGAGGGTGGGGTTTATGGCAGTGATGGCAAACTACTACAGGTACTTTGCTGTGTACTGATGTGGTGTTGTAGGTTATCTCTTGGAAACTACCAATGGAAAGTGGGGAAATATTTTTTTTTTTTTAAAGTGAAGTGATAGGAGACTGAAAAATCACATTTTTTATAAAGGGGAAAAAAAAAAAGTTCTTGTGGGAAGAAAAAGGCAGGGGGCTGTCTATGGGAGGTCTGTAGGATAAAAAGTGGCATAGAAATAGGGCAAGTAGGGAAAGTTATTTCATTCTCTCTTCCTGTACAAGTATTAGGTAGAGTGCATGAACTCCAGCTGGTAGAAGCTGAGGGAGAAGGTGGGAAAGGTATGTGTTTGTCACATGGTGAGTTTGGAGCTAAAGGAAAAAATATCAAGACTAGTGAGGTAATAACCAAAATACAGGAAAACAAGGCGAGACTGTGTTTGACTCAGAAGGCTGCAATGAAGAATATTTATCTTCTTTCTTCTCTCAGTTGCAGGAGGCTTTCCGGCTCTTTGATAATGCAAACTGTACAAATCTTCAGAATAAGCCCAAAATGTTCTTTATTCAGGCCTGCCGTGGAGGTGAGTGCCCAAATACTAAAGCCTTGTATTGGGCATGCCATTAAGGCTCATCTTACTCACAGACACACCCTCACATTCAACTTGCTGTCAACTCTCCTCTTTACTTCTCTCAGGTATAAGTGGAACCCATATTCACCTCCCTCTGCCCTGCTGCTGCCACTGCATCTGTTGCTCTGTAAGTGTCTTTTGCTCTGCATGGGATGTGTGCATTGGCTTGCAAACCTCAGAGCACCTTAATGATATCAAACTCTATCACATCCCGCTCATATGTTGAGGCTTTCTCGCTTTGCCTGCAGTAAGGGGAGTGGGGCATATGGTGCATCAAATTGCAGCACAGCACAGAGTGGTACACTAGCAATGGAGTCCTGTCTGAGGTCCTTTCTTTTGATCCTGGATGTATTATGTCTCTTGTGCTGTTGTCTCTTGAGCTATCAAAGTTGGCTCAAAGTCTTTTTTTGTCTCTTTTTCCCCTTTACCCTATCCTCTTTTCAACCTCCAAATGACCTTTCTTTACACCCTCTTCCACATACTACTGTAGAATGTTTACATACTATTGTACAGAATTCTTTTCTTCATTCTCATATACTTGGGTTTTTTCCACTTTCTGTTCCTTTTTTTTTTTTTTTTTTTAAATTGTGCCATTCATTTTCCCTCCTCTTGTAACTAAACACATGTCTATAAGCACCTACGTTTCAGATCTGCTAATGACTTTTTCCCTAAACTATTTGGACTTTTTGAGATTGCTGTGAAACTGTGGATACTCCAAAGCAAAGTTCTGTCTTAGAAAGCTTTGTTTTTTCTGTTGTGATAGAGAAGTTCTTCTAGTGTGTATGCTTTTCCCCCTTTTCCCTTGTAATTGTCTCCCTTTTTAATTTTTAGCAGAGCTTTATAGTTTGTCCTCTAGCCAAGAGGATGTTTCATTCACCTGTTATCTACTTGTGTTCAATCCCAGTGAGGAGAAAAACTTAGTCACATGAAGTATTTTGGCAATCAGAAATATTTGATTCTTCTAAGCATTTGGAAATACTGTAACGTGTATTTACAGTATGAATTGAACGTGATTGCTTTTCTTACATTATTGAATCTTTAGATACTCTTGAACAAACATGAAAATGCAGACTCATAACACTGTGGAAATAAGTGTAATAAACCAAAGCTTTGTAACTGACCTTATTAGGTAATTAGGTTTATTTGACCGTGAGGTTACCATAATGGGTCTGTTCATGTCAATTAATCAGGCTTGGCCTTCCTGTTCCCAAAAAGGTATCTGTTCAGAATGAGTGGTAGGCTAACTATGCAAAATGCCGTGGAACTGGGATACTGCAGTAGGCAAATGGTTGAGACTTGAGCAAATGAAAAGTAAAAAAATCTTTTCTCAATTTAAAAAAAAACCAAACACCTTTTTTTTTTAACCTCTCTTTTAAACCTTTAGTAGTAGCTGGAGGGTAAAGCTAGTTACAGAGTAATTGAGCTGTCAACAAAAAGGTGTACCTTTTCATGTTAGCATTCAAAGGTTAGGCTAACCAATACAAATTTTTTTCAAAAGCAGCATTTAAAAGACTGTATAAATAGTGTGGACAACTTTAGATTAGTAGTCAGTCTTTCTGTTGAAACAAAATGAGAAATGAATAGGTTATTCTTTCTCCCTACATTTATGTAATAGGCCTTATCCATCTTCTATTAATGACACACTAAAAAAATGTAGATAAAGAGGAGGTGGTAGTATCTTCTTAATTTCCAAAGGGTCTTTGGCAGAAGTCTACTAAAGAATGGAAATAGTCCACCTGCAGTCACAGATCGAAAACCAGTGACAACAGAAAGCAATGGGAAAAGACAAATAGATTTTGGTATGACATAAAATGAGACTTTGAAGCTGCTTAACATCTGTGTTGAATATAGTAGTTGATCCAGAAGAGTGAACTGTGGTAAATAATGACAAATAGGTAGCTAGCAGTTATTTAAATCAGTTGGCAAAATCACTATCTGGGACCTTCAGTAAAATTTAAACAGGCTTAATCAATCTTTGTGGCAATGATTGGTGATATAAATTGGAGGTTAAGTATGTGGATGAATATGCTTTACACTTTTTAGTTTGGGATGGTGTTTGAAGACAAATGCATGAGGAAGACATCTGTTTTTGAAGCTTTAATCAAAAAGGTTTTGACTTTATGGGTGACAACAGTATGAATAATAGCTTGACTGTAAAGTTACCTGAGTCTTATCTGAAATAGCATACACTGTGAACAATACACTAAATTTTTAAGAAGATACAGAATTTAAAGGATTTGGAGAAGTGATAAAAGACATGAAAAAATGTGGTTAAAAATGGAAAAATTTGTATTGCTAACTTAGAGATGATGAAGGAACTTGATAGAAGTAAACATGAAATTTTGAGCTATGGAGTCTTAATTATAGGGTATATCTATTCTGTCAGACAATCAGACCTTCCCACTGCTGCTTGGAGGAAAAGAACAGCGTTGCTGTCTTATAAACTGACCATTACCTATGCATAATTATGAGATGTCTTCAGTGCCACTGCCTGTAAAAGTGTTAGAAATCCAAATGCATTTCTTAGGCATGTCCTGGCAACAAAATCCTAGAGCCATCATAACAGGAGGATCTCTGAAATGGACACTTGTGCCTCCTAAGACTAGCATCTACTTACTAGGAAGTAAGTAGAATAGTAGATTCTCATTTTACAGCAAAAGGGCAAAATTATATAGAAAGCCTGTAAAATGTAGTTTTTCTACAGCATAGCTGGACTACTAAAGTTATTGCCACTAAGCGATTGGTCTGTATTATAGTGAAAACTCTGCATCATGTAAACAAGCAATTGATAATATGTACACTTGTCCTAATACATACTAATGAATCCTGGAAAGGGCATTAAATATTCTCCAGATTATAAACTAATTGTCAAGTACTCAAGTTGTTTCTCTTGTGTTTGGGGTCAAATTATTTTGCATTTTCTTATCGCACAATTTGTGATTTTGATTGAAACAAGTGATATTATAGTCAAGATTTAGAACTGGGGGAGATATTTGGCCCATGTTTTCTTGATGTCTTGGAGGCAGACCTTAGCTGCTAAAATTATAGCTCTCATTTTGAGTTCTGCAAGAAGTAGGTAGCTAGCACTGCAAACTAGTCTAGACATTTTTGGACATTTCTAAGGTAGGCAAAAGTGTAAAGTAGAAACATGTGCATGGTGAAGAACTATCAGAAAGTTCTTTGCTTTCCAAATATCGCATGATTCCATAGGAAAGGGGGGGGGGGCCGGGGGGAAATCACTTGACATGAAGACTAACAGTCATATTAGGTTGAGCAGGTTCAGCATTTATTAGTATATGAATTAGTTAGCACAGAATAACTTTCAGATGAGTTTTAAAAACAACTGAGAAAGCTTAAAGTTCATGCAAAAGCTTTCTGCTTGACAGCAGGTGTGGCATTGCTGCCCAAAGCTAAAGAAGTACAGGAAAGCTATATTCAGTAATTCATGATAATTTCTTCTTTTTCTGCCCCCAACCCAGATGAGACAGACCGGGGAGTGGATCAAAGAGATGGGAAAGAATGGTCAGATTCCCCAGGCTGTGAGGAAAGTGATGCAAACAAGGAAGAAAATCTCAAACTGCGTCTCCCTACATGCTCTGATATGATCTGTGGATATGCTTGTCTGAAAGGTATAGAGGGGAGGCCCTAAGTGTTGGGGCATAAGGAGGTTTTATCTGTCTGTGTTTCCCAGAAACTTCATCATACACTTTCTTCTCAGGCACTGCAGCCATGCGGAACACCAAGCGTGGATCCTGGTATATCGAGGCTCTCACCTCTGTGTTTGCAGAGGACTCTCGAGACACTCATGTGGCTGACATGTTGGTAAAGGTGAGATGGAGTGTCTGTCTTCTCCCACACTTCACAGAATCACAGCATCATCATCTCGGTTGGAAAAGACCTTGAAGATCATCCAGTCCAACCATTAACCTCACACTGATCGTTCCCAACTCCACCAGATCCCTCAGCGCTGGGTCAACCCAACTCTTCAACCCCTCCAGGGATGGGGACTCTCCCCTGCCCTGAGCAGCCCATTCCAACCCCTTCTGCAAAGAAATACATCCCAATAGCCAGTCTGACCCTGCCCTGGCACAGCTTGAGGCCATTCCCTCTTGTCCTGTCACTGGTTCCTTGGTTCAAGAGACTCATCCCCCCTCTCTGCACCCTCCTTTCAGGGAGCTGTAGAGAGGGCCATGAGGTCTCCCCTCAGCCTCCTCCAGACTAAACACCCCCCCAGTTCCCTCAGCCGCTCCCCATCAGACCTGTGCTCCAGACCCTGCACCAGCTCCGTTGCCCTTCTCTGGACACGCTCGAGTCATTCAATGGCCTTTTTGGAGTGAGGGGCCCAAAACTGAACCCAATCATTGAGGTGTGACTTACCTGGTTTCTGAAGAGCCTTCTAGTGCTTCAAACTGTTAGGATTAATCTACTATCAAAGCGATTGTTCTTGCCTTTTTCATAGCTAAATTATTACTGATTTCCCCATTTTTGTGTGTGTGTATACATATATATACACACACACACACACACACACACACACAGAGTTCTACAGCAGTTTAACCAAAGTAAAAATACTGTTTCTTTGACTCCTTACATTCGTCATGAAACTGCACGAGTGAAATGGATGAGAAGAATTAATCTGGCTTGTCAAGAATTACATTTTTTCTATAGAAATAGCTTTTCTTTCAGGTGAATTCCCTGAACTGCTTACCACATAGCTGCACAAGCACTTGCACTCACATAAGATAAAGATTAAGAAAATGGGGGACAAGGGAGTGAAGACAGCAGTGTGACCACGGCAACAAACTGCTGTGGAACTGCACCCCAGTTCTATATTCTCCTTATAATTTAGAAAGACATTTCATAGGGGACTACTTAATAAGATAAACTATGAGTATAGAAAGCAGTGACACTTATTCTGTCTTTTTAATCCTTCCAGTCATTTTATTTTTTTTAATTTCACATCTAGGTGAACAGGCAAATCAAACAACGAGAAGGTTATGCCCCAGGCACAGAATTTCACCGCTGCAAGGAAATGTCGGAGTATTGTAGCACACTCTGTCGGGACCTTTACCTGTTTCCTGGCTATCTGCCAGGAAAATAACCCTGCCAGCTCTGTTGGAAGACAGATACTGCCAAAGCTCAACTTTGAGTATGGAAGTCTGTGTTTTCAGTCTTATGGGTTGTGACATCACATGCACAAGCAAGGAACGCTTGATTATATCCAGCCAGTCTAATTCTTGATGTCTTCTAAAGTTATCTGGCAACATTTTGTAATCTGATTCAGTTCAGGGTTTAAAATTATAATGTCCTGACTTATTCCATATGGTCAGAAATTGATGGACAGAGGATCAGCACTAGAAATGGGAACATCCTTTGGAAGGAGATATAAGGACATTTGTAAGCAAAGTGAATGTGGAAAGGGAAACAGACTATTCATATAACTTTTTAAAAGGTTAAGCCTTTCTGAAAGGAAAATTATTCATAAAATGCTACTTATGTTTGTATTTTAAAATTTTAAAATACTTTCTATATGGTTCTTCATGCAGGACAATCATCTCCTGTGTGCATTAGAAAAGAGCTCCCTTGTGAAAGAGAATCCTTACCATCTCTAAAATGGAAAGTTATTTTTTTCAGTACTTGACACTTTTCATCTTGATTCCTTAAAATTTTATTTTTGCACATTTCTTCTGTAGCCAAATTATCAAGAGAACTACAAAACATCCCAGGTTATCAACAAAACAAGTAGAGATCCAGGATTTCTCATACAGACAAGTAAGCCTCCATAAACTGCCCCAGATATAGTTTTGAATCTAGAATTTCTAGATTAGCTCCCCTTAGTCCCAAGAATGAACAACTGCATGGAATATTACTTTTGAGGAATTTGTTTGGCATAGTACCTGTGTGTCACAGGCATAGCATTCAATCCGTCAACTTCTCAGGAGCCTATAAATTGCACTGTAAAACTGAATCCCCCAAACCCTACAGCCTTGTACAGAAGGATCTTTTTTTTGTTTTCTTAATTAACAAAAATATTCAAGGCAGCTCTTTACAGCCTAAGCGTTTTTGCTTGGTTTATTTATCACTGCCATTTGTTTCCCTTTTAAATGAAAGGGAAGATTTTCACATTACCACCCTGTTCTGTGAGTTTTGTCTTCAGCCATGATCATGTAAAGCCATTTATTTAGCTAATATTTGCAAAGTGTTGTTTCAAGTGATCAATAAGAAAAGTTGTGGCATAATCAGTCAGTTATTTTGGAAATTTCCTACATAGTCTTTTCATGTTCTGGTTTCTCTTGCTTGTGTCCAGATGCAGTTACTCCTATTTGATGTGATATGGGAGATAGGCATTGTTCTCTTTGGGGTAGAGCCTAGCTCCTGATAAACTGAGTTACATATGGACTGCAGTCTGTTCAGTCTCAGTCCTTGCCCATCTTGTAAGTTGGCATAGTTTCCAGCTTTTTTATGTGTGACTTTTTATATATTTTAATATCTTAAAATATTTTTTTCAAGATAGAATTATAAATAGGAAGCACAGAGGGATATGGAGGGAAGCTGGAAAATTAGGCATATGCTTCTTTTTTTTTTTTATTGTCCTGCCTAGGAAAATGAAGGCTGTTTCCTCCAGCTGACAAAGGTGCAGCATTAACATGCATCTTGCACTTATCTTACACACAAGGTGTTAAACAACAAGGATCACACTTGCCAATGGGTGCCTTACTCTGAAGTTTAAGATACCATTTTAGAGGCTGTTGTACCTACCTCCCTGGAGTATAAACACTTTCTTCTTGAGTGCTCCTTATTTGAAAAGGTGCAATATTTTAAGATATGTATATTGATGAAGCAGTCCACTCTGGATTAGATTTTTGTAGGATTACATCAGGCTGCATCATCACTGCCACTTTCTTATATTCTTTTTGTATACTTGTATTTTACTGCCTTGAAATGTCAAAATAAAGAATAAAGAATTCTTGTTTGATTAATATTTGCAGTATCTTCCACTTGCAGAGTTATACCTTTGCTCAGAAATGGAGTTTCTATATAAAGAGAATTTTGCATAATTTTTTGAGATAGTACCTTCTGAGGCACTTCTGAACTCGGGCAGAAGCCTGCTACTTGCTAGCTGCAACCAGTATGGGCTGCTTGTAAATTTTGGTAGCACCTGAACTACACAAAATTTAATACATTGATAAAGAGATATGAGGCAGAACCACCAAGTACGAGGCCAGGTTGAACAGGGCTTTTGGCAACCTGGGCTAGTGGAAGATTGTGGGGGTTGGAACTAGATAATCTTTAAGGTCCATTCCAACTCAAACCATTCTGGTTGTGTTGTGTTTCAGCACATAAAATATTTAGACTGGGAAAATTGTGGGCTTGATGTTCCTGAAGGAAGAGTTGGTGCCAAAATGAAGGGTTCCTGAAAAAAAGGAGGAAGGGCCCAGAAAGAAAGTGAAGATAACAGCTGGAGAAGAGATCCTGGAAGTGCAGGAAAATCCAGGTAGAGGGCTGCATGGGAATGGATGCCAGGGGCTCTCCCCAGAGGCTTTGACCTTTAATGCCTAAGACTGGTAACTGGGCCCCAGCTGTACAGCACAGAACCAGCATGACTTTTCCCCCAATCTTCACAGATTAGCAACGATCTCACTGCAAATGCACCTGGGAGAAAGCCAGTGAGTGTGAAATAAGAAGGTAAATAATCTCCAGTGTCCAGACGCACTAGAGATTACCATTTACTCTGTCTCATCCATGACATTTAAAAGACAGAAAACACCCCTCTAAAGTCTTTTTTTATTGAAAGAGTACATTTTTTTCCATAATACAAAATTCTGACACAGGAAATCTAGTAGTAGTATTAGCAGTGGAATTACCAAGGTCTACTTGTGCAAAAAGTGTTTCTAGTAGTCCAGATGATAAAGCAGGCCAGAAGATGAAGTATACAGATATTTGTATTTTCAGGGAAGTAAGTTTTGAGCTAGTATCATAGTTTAAGGAATGACTAATAGCTAAAATAGGTGGTATAGTAGGAAAGTGCTAACCAAGTCACTTTTTGGCTAGAAGCCAAAAGAATAATAAGGTCAGAAGTTTTGTTTTGAGGTACAGGGAGTGAAAACAGTGATTGTGGTGTAGACAGGGTATCTTACAAATCTTGAGTAGCATTAAGCTAGTTATATTTATTAATAGAAGACTTTGGTAAATTAATACAATTGTAGTAATTCTAAAATAGTTTTGTTTCCCCGTTTGCCATTATGAAAAGTAATAGATACCCAAAGAATTTGACTTTGTAAAAACAGTCATTGATCTTAAAAATAGGAAGGAACAGAATGGCATTGGAAGAGGGAAAGTTTTCCAAAACATCAAAAGAGTTGTCTAAACATCCATAAAATGTCTTAGAAGATAAAATTTATGCCAGGCTGAGACTCCTAACATACACTGTACCTGTGTTGTACAATGTGTTCTTGCCCTCGTCTTCAGGGTGTGAGAATTCTTTGCTACATCACAACACTGTTATTAGGAAAAGGAAATGCAAGAAAATAGGATATTGTTATGTAATTGGTCATGTTCATTATGTTGTGATGATGTCAGCAGTGTAT